GGGGGGGGCGTGTTTTCTCTCAGTATCAACAGCTACTTCTTCAAGAATTCTAATATTTGTACATATCTCCGCAGCAGTTCAGATTGGAATGCACTCCGTGTATATTTTATCTTCATTGTTAGCCTATTTATATTCCGATGTTTCTTTGATTTGTATACACTTTCTGCAGTTTCATTTACCGTGTCAGTGGATAATCTGCAGCTGAGCGGTAGGACAAGCATAAGTCGCGATATGTTAATGTCCTTCGTCTCTGCGACAACTCGGCTACCTGCACATACGTTTAAGAACTTGGCGAAAGTGAGAATTTTGCGCAACACTCAATTCGGCCGACGAGAATGGCAGAACTATATTCTGAAAACCAACGCCGGAAACTTGCTTCTCTCATACATTGTTTCATCTATTTTAGGCTCAGTGGATAAAATACTGACTGAGATTGAAGCCACCTTAACTTTCAGATTGCTCGCGAATGTCTCATTGTCGATGTACAGGAGAAGTGGTTCCTCAGTGAAGTTGACAACTCCATCATCTCGCTTCCCGGATTTCAGATGCTCCGGCTTAATCGTTCCTCAGAAAAGAAGACACGTGGTAGCGAGATAATCACCTATATTCGACAGGAATGGTGCGCTAATCTTACCATTAAGTTTAACTTCCTGTCTGACAGTGTTACTTATCTCATTCTGCCGCTTAACATATTTTGTGCCTCGGTACACGTAAAAATATGTGATGTTGGAGAATATATATCCCCAGATTGCGATGCTCGTGGGCTCGAAGAGTTCGTTAATGCCTTGACTTCGTTCCTGTCGTCGGCTCATCGAGCAAAATCTAATCATTTTGGCTGGAAATTTCAATCCTCATTGTTCGAAGCCCCTCTAGTCACTCGTCCTAGCGAACAGTGTACAGTTCTAAACACGCGGCAGTGCGATGCTCTATGAAAATGCTCCCCATGTATATTGCTCGTAAAGCTGCACCATTTGGGATGTTGGGCCACTGCATCATTCGCATTTTGCCAACATTCAGCGAAAATATTCAATCCAATGCTTCGTCAACTGCGCTGATTTTTTGCGCTCGAGAACCGTAAATTGTCGGGACTTACGTCCAGAAAATGTTCTAAACTACGGCAGTTTATGTCCTTCATTCTCTGTCCCGATCTGCCAATGATCTGTATGAATCAAGAAGAGCCGAATATAGCTGTGTAGTGTATTGCTACAATCCTGAACTACAGATATGACGCTTTTTGCCTAATCCGGAAAATTCAACTGATTGAGCGCCACATTACATCCAATACGATGCATTATTTTTGATACCGGAAAGAAAGAAGGCGTACAAGCTTGGGCATCATCCGTTCTGTCGCACGATCTCAGTTAAGATTAAAGCAGGAATAAAACAGCTGAACGAACTCTCTGAGCCACTACAGACAAAGAAGCAAATAATGTGGCGTAACGTCAAGTCCCTGTGCAACATCACGTCATCGGGACTCTCATCAAGAATCACCCTAGATGTTAATATCCTTAACCGCCTCTTCCTTTGCTTTAAAATGACAGACTGCTTGCCAGCGACTATACGTTACCATCAGAAAAGGCAGAACAAGATCCTGTGCAGCTCACCGCTACAGAATTGCGTGAACTTATCATACGAACTCGACCGATGGACTGGACGGTGTCAATCCGCAGTTATTGAAACGCTGCGCATCCGAACTGAGCAATATATTTAAATCTTTATTTAACTACTGTCTGCGCCGTTTGGTTTGCTGATTCCCAGTGCCTGCCGTATGGCTACAGCCACCCCAATTACCGAAAATCATTTAGCATCCAGAGACCCAAATGACTTCCGACCGATTGCTCTTGCTTCAGCTCATCCGAAATATCTTGAGGTCCTGATATTTCCAAGACTATGGGAAAATAAATCGAACACCATGCTCGTGCCAGCTCGCATTTAGTACAGGATTCGGGACTGACGACGTCATTGCTTGCTTAACGATGAAAACATCGAAGAACTGGACAAATGCTGTTTATTGCAAGATCGCTGTTTTTCGATGTCATCCGCCTTCTATACAGTCATTCATGATAAGCTGTTGAACAAACTGTGTGCGCTGGTTGCCCACCTCTCTATCATCCGATGGTTAGCGAACTATTTTTCCAGTCGTTGTCAGTTTGTCAGAATCTCTAGGAATAATTTTGGCATCTTGGCGAGTAATCTGGATGTGATGCAAGACTGTACTCTCCCCCTTGCTATTTAATGCCTAAAATAATGATTTTGCTGTTGATGGGCGTCTAGGATGTGTAGAATATGCTGATGACCCTGCCATTGTGAACTTTCTACGGTTGCCTGAAGGCTACAGTTGTTACAGATTGGCCTTTGTACGATCTGGCATCTTTTCTCTAGCAGCGGACTCAGCATCAATCCGCAAAACGCTAAGGAATAGATATTTGTGTTGCGCAATTCCGAAAGGCTGGCGCTGGTTGACTTAGTAACACAAACCATCGATATTGATGATCAACCAGTGCTCAGAGTACAGCACATCCGCTTCCTAGGAGTCACCTTGTCTTATGACTTCTCCTGGCGTTAACATGTCAAGTCACTTTCCAGTCGCTGCTGCATGGCGTCCTTCTGCACCAAGAGCCTGAGAGGATGGCATGCTCTGAAAGAGGCCTTTGTCTTCGCATGCATCCTCCCCCAGTATTGCCGCTCTCGTCTTTTCTGGATTGCATGCGTTATGAATTCAAAGTAATAAGGCGATATTTAAAGCTAGTCTCTAGGCTTACCGGCCTTCTATGTCGGGACTTAGCACAACAGTCGTTAAATCAGCTATTGCTTACGCCGTTCGATTGGGAAATATAATTCTTTACCAATCTGTTCACCTACTTCATGAAGCGTTTGCGCATTCCTGCCCCGCTGCACATCCATTAGATCACACTTGAGGAATATTTCATCTTGGATACAGCTATGCCGAAGATCTATCATCGCAGCATCTGCGCGCACCTTGAGAGACCGTGATGCAGTAAAATAGGATTACTTTATATTACTCAGTGCGCCGTGATATTTATATTTGTTCCGGTGTTTGACGTTTGTATTTCTTTTCTTATTTTTGCTGCAAAAAGGAATATTTCAGTAGTGGCTTTTTTAAGCAATAAAGCCGTCAACCTCTGAATGAGAAAACAGATTATGATTTATTTTTATGT